GTCACCTGACGGTCGATGTTTCTAGGCTGTTTAAAAGAATGAGTTGGTTAGAAATTCGATAGTCCGGTTGGAGTGAATTGACAGGTTAGACCATTCGGATGATACTAACACATAAGTGTCTTATTACCTCACATCTAAGCGACCTGAACAATAAGGGGATAGATGGGGTGGAGATGGTTGTAAAGTAATCGGCGCTGTCAGATTTTAGTTATTTTTGTTGCACGTTGCTATGTGCTAGGTGAAAAAATAGAGGGGTGGGGAATGCGGTACTCGAGAAATCTGAATAGGACAACATATTCCCCTGTAAAACTTGTGAACTCGGGTAATAATTCATATGGATAAAAAAAATGTGTCTTTTTTACTTCCTCTTTTATTTATTGAATATACAAATGTACAGTCAACATTCGGGAAGGGGGGCCACAGCCATACAAAGGCTGCCTGAGAAGTAGGGCTGCGGCGGTGGAGCGATTCGAACCCGGGACTCCAGGGGCACAAGTTGGTGACCTAATCACTTGGCCTCCGCCGCCTGGATAGATGAAAATAAAAAATTTTCTTTTCTGGTTTTTCGTTTCAAATGTTTTCAAGGAATTTAAGTTAAGGAGAACAGTATTTTTTACTACTCTGACACTTGAATACTGTACATATATAGATTTTTTTATTTTTTCACAATTTAAGTTGTATTATGTTGTAGTTTAATTATGAATACTGCAGACGTAGTGCCTACATTTCTGTGAAACATGTATACAGCCGAGAAAAAAGCATTAAAGCTTCGAAACTTTGAAGAACTTTCGCGAAAACATGTTTATGTAAGGGTACCGTAAAGTAACTCTGTATACTTGAGACTATATGTATATATCCCTGCGAGTACACATCGGCGCTGGGATTCAGCAGACAAATGGGAAATACAGGATAATGAAGCTTTTTTTCAATGTACACATTTGTGTGTGATGAACAGCAGATGAGGCGAACCCCATAGTCACGAAGACCTGCTATTCAGTAATGGAAACCACCAACTTAACACCTGGAACTTGGAGTGACGAACCGATTTAGGTCCCGCTTAGATAGGCGTGGTATTTTACCGGACAACAGTAAAGCTGCNCTGCCTATGAACCAAGTTTGGTGGTTGTGTTGGGGCTTGAACCTATGACCACAGGGTTTGAAGCACGCCAATGACAGCGACTAAGCTAGTAAGGGCCTGCACCACACGTGCAGCGAATGAACGTGATCCATAAGAATCTCATCCGAATGAATTTCCCATTGATTGGTTCGCAAACTCCTCCAAGTGGAACATGTCGAAACAGCTTAGATCTTTTTAGACGGCGAATGTTTGGATGAGCCCATTCGGTTTTTCACAAGCACCAAGCACTATTGATGATCTTGGGTGTGGATTTCACTCCCACTAGTTGAGTGCAGTTCGCGGTTCGAGTCCTGGATGGGACACAAGAAAGCTACGCACTGCTAACGAGCCCCAAACAGGACGAAACAGCCGTCCAGTGTTCTTAGTCGGTTATCACAAACATTTACATCACATTTAAAAGCTTAAACCTTTCATGATAAAAGTTTAAAAAAGACAATAGGTGATCAGTAAAGTTAGGCGGGACAAAGTACTGGTCAAACTTCAGATAAAATCTTTTCAAGGTCAATATGCAAATTTTCTATCCCTAAAAATTGTGATGATATCTCTGCAGTCACGGGATGTGAAAGCACAAATTTGGTTTCCCTCAGTTAACCAAAATGGTCATTAATCAGTGAGAAGAAGGTGCTTACTCTGGCTTATTATGTTTGACAAACACGTTGTAAGTTAGTTGAATTTAGAGGTTTAGATCTTATCCAGCTTGTGTTCAATGCGCTATTACTCGATGTCCCTAACACACACCATCAATACTCATATACTGAACCAGTTGAACTTTTCATTTATCAAATGAAGTTCAAAATTTTGAAAAAAAATCAAGTAATACAGTACGAACAGAATTCATATTGGCCATCAATTTTGTGTGCTCTTAATCAGCTGTCTACGCACAATAAATAGATCGCACTGTTATCAGAAGAATACCATACATGGAAATTTACATTACTCACTGGGTTCCGGTGGTAAAAACTGGGTTGTTCAGTCATTACAAAAGTCATTTAGGGATAAGTGAACGAGGAGGAAGAGATAATGATTATCAAAATTATCCAAATGACTTTGGTAATGATTGAACAACCCACTTTTTTGGCCTGAATACATGTGATTATGTAAATGTCCATATATAGTATTATTATGACAAAATTCGACGTATTTAATGTGCGCGGACAGCTGATTCAGAGCATACAAAATTGATGGCCATTATCAATTCTGCTCATATTGTGTTACTTGTTTTATTCAAATGGATCAAAGGGAAAGGATGTTTTCGATATAAAATTTTGTTAGTAATAGTTTCCAATTTCTTTTTCTAATCGTTATCACTCCACTGATACTTCAAACTAGCTTTCCTTACTCATGGCTTACAGCTGGCTCCCAGCCAACCAGGTTGCACGTAGACAAACGCACGCACCCATCCAACACTAAGTTATTTAGTAGTCTGGGCACAACATTGCTGATAAAACGAGAACGCCCTCCCCCCCCTGGACCGTTCCATTAGTAGAAATCTTGCATAAATCTATTTAATCGTGCTCACATTTACCATAGCAAAACATTTCATTAGTAGGTGATCAACACGGAAAGGTATACGGAATAGGGTAACTATAGATGATGATTATATGGTAGAATTGCCGGAATTCTTGGTGCAATCCCTTGTTCCGAGTGATACACCACCGATAAGACTCATGAGCAACCATGAGAAACCGGTCCGGATTTTTCTGTTAGGATTAGGCAAAGATAGTTCAATCATTGTCTATCGATCCAGCAGACCACGGTAGTCAGTGCCTAGATACAGCATATAAATATATATATATATATAACTGGACATTTTGACAACGATGTGAATGGTCATCCGGGCAGAGCAAGGATTGATCTCTGTTCGAGCAGCGAATTCAAAGGTTTAATTAATGATCTGAAATAATTTGAACACATCAAGATTCTTTGGTTGTGATATGCATCATGCTTTGCACTAGACTAAACAGTTTTCCAAAGGTTAACAGAACTCTAGCTAACTTGTCATGTCTATACATACATGTACATACATTCATGTCTGTACATTCGATTGGATTAATTATTTCCACTAGTTCGAGTTTCCGGCTCTCATATTTTCGTCTATCGTTGATAGCTGAAACCCCGCTTCATCGCTTTACACGATATTACCACATGAAGTTCCAGAATAAAAGGACACCGATGCATTGCCCACTCAAAACATAGTCCTCGATGAAGGTGGGTTACCAAAAGGACATTTCTGATCATCCCAATTATTGCGCGTACGGAACACGTGTCTCACGACATATGTAACTGAGGGTCGGTTAATATGCGTAAGTGGATTGGCTGATAAACCAGCGAATACACTTCAGAAAGATAACGTTCCAATACACAAATATCCAAGTAGTACCGCGGCCTGCCAGATCGCCAAATCTGAAATCCGGTGAACACTGCTAGAATCGTTCCTAAAGTAACAAAGGTCAGGATTTTGGGAACGCAACTGGCGGGAAATCATACAATTAGAACGCAAAAGGAGTTCGAGAGGATGTCAAATGTTCGGGCTCATGAGTGAGAGCGTTTGGTCTGTTTTTACTTAGTCCCTCATTTTCAAGAGAATTTGTGATGTAGTTACCAAATGAAACAAAAAAACGTCGTTTGTTTGCAGGAGATGGAAATTACTTTACAAGAAATTGTGATTCATTCGCCTCCAAAGGCCTCGTTTTGGTCGGAGTGAGTGTCTCAGGTTGCGGCTGATCCCCTTCCCTTGCATCTCGCGAGATCCTTTTAAACGACCAAGCGTTTCAGATAGCCTCAGGTGAGGAAGTCCTGCTCAATGCCTTCTCGTGGCAGAGATGTTTCTCCACCAAATTGAGAGGACGAAAAGCCAACATCCGGGGCTATAGCCGGGTTCGTGAACTACTGGAACTTCACCTAGGGGAGATGGCTAAAAATCTTGATTCCAAGTCAACCACTAAGAAGAGTACGAACCACACACACCCATACCTTCTTAGTTGTAACAGTGGTCACCCGTCCAAAGGGTGAACGATCCGATGAACGGATCACCGCCCCGTGAGTCAGACTGGCCGATTTTCCTAGAAAATTCACCTGCCTTGGCCTGGAAAACCTGGCAGTATTCCATCCATCTGAAGTTCATGGAACCTTTTACTTTTTTAAATACTATTGTGCCGTGATTTATTTGGCACACATATATCAGCCATTGCCCGGATTTCTAACAGAAATTGGACAGTGATGGCAGATATGGACATTGGACCTCCCATGTCAATTACAGTTCAAACAAACAACAAGAATGAATTAAATCAGAACGGAAGAATGTGCTTCGTTTTGTAAGTCCAACAGGCAAGCTTTTGTATTCACCAAACAGTCCGGTTCGATTCAAAGTCAGCTGTGGCTTTTCTCTTATGTTCGACCGAGCGTTTTGTGGTCTCTATATGTTACCCAGTGCTCTGTCGTATAAGATCAAACGGTAGAATGAAGTTCAGCCGTGCTTTGCGCACTGCAAATCAAATTCGTATGCAACAGTGTTCGTTCTGTCCGTCGTTCAGCAATGCACCAATCAAATTTAAGCAACTCCCGTAAACTCAGACCCATGTGAACCAATCCGGGATTGATGCGAGTACGTGTGAGATTGAGAACTAGGGTGGGGGTGGGTTGCGTCTCGGACTGTCCAATTGCCCTGTGGTGGCGCTTATTTGTTGTACGCTCTGACTCTGCTCATCACGTACGCACTCACACACGAACATACATGTGCACACTAATAAACACAACCGCTCAAACCCGCATTTGAGCTTCAAAGGCGTTAACCAAAACACGNAACAGAACTGATCGGCATAGTTCACCGTGCGTGTGTGTGTGCACGCGCGTGTGTGCGTGAATGCATGTGCATGAGAAACGCGACCACAAAGATGTAACAAAAGAGAAACGATTGAGAAACATCTCGTCTCGGCAACGGACAAAAGCTGGTGGTACAGTCAATGGAAACACACACACAGGCATGACCGTTACTGCTACTTCCCAGTCCACAATGGGCACGACCGGGATATGGACATGGTGTGAACTGGCCGATTCATCCGATGATCACTTGTTTAGACGCGACGCAAATCACGTGATCCCCAATCAAAAATTTTCTGCACTTGGTGGACCAGCATTGCCCGCGCATGCATCCTCATCAGCAATAACACCACCATTGGCAATGAATACCACAAAACACCAGCCCGCATTTCACTCAATGCCCGCATCCGCCGGGCTCGCTTCATGGACTGCCGGATCCACGTGGTACGGTACCACGACGAACACGTGCACGAAGACAACCACAACTCTGACATCACCATCCCAATCGTCGTCATCTTCCTCATCCGTACCTTCTGTATCATCATCCTCGTTGACCACCAGTGCAGCAGTCGACCCGGTGTCTTTCACCAACTCTCATCCCAGGGAACCAAGTGAAGCTACGGTTATATCAAATTCGTTTGATCTGTGCCCCTCACATTCGAATGCCACGGACTATACACTCGGATCTTGTAGTGGAGCCTCGACTAGACAGAATCTTCCAGTGGGAATTATTCAACCTGATGCGTACGATCCATCCACACATGGACAGTGGTCCACGTTTCACTCTCCGTCTTCCGTCCAGCTCTGTCGCATTTCGGAACAGAGCGGAAGGATGGATATTGACGGATGCGCAAGTGAACACCTAGTTCAGTCTCCCCCCAAAGTTTCGAATCACATACTGGATTCAAAGCACCAATGGGATATCAAGGATGTGAAGTTGCCCAAGGTAAGTTTCCATTTTGATCCTGAACGAACAGATTTTTCTTACACCGACTCCAATCAAGCGGAAATAACAGAGGCAGGATAGTAGAAAGGTGCATGATATGAATTGAGCATTGAGAAGAACTCAAAATATCGATCGTCTTGGTGTAGAATGCTAATCGATTTTGTTCATCATATGTTAAGATTACTGAATTGTTTCCACGATTATATCAGAAAAAATGTGATAATCTAAAGAATTCGGAGGTTTATGACTCACTAGTGTTTAGTACGTTATCTTGCAAAGCCGGCTGGGATGAAACGTGCTGTGCAGTTGACCGGGCACGGAGCGGCTTGAATCGACATCTGATGGATGAGGGGAATATGCGCTCAGTGAAAAGAATGCTCCGTGGATAAGTTCATTCAACCAAGATATTTTTTTCAGAACGAGGCATTTGAATAAAAATAGTTTTCCATGATTCAGTGGATCGACCTAAAGCGGGGGATATCAACAATGATATAACACAATGTCTCGTTTGACAATACACAAAAATGACAGAGAAACAAACAAGGGGCTCGACGCGTGAATTGTTTAAGTAAATAGTGAATGAACACATTATGTGAAGATTTCAGACACAGCGCTTATCGTGTGACGAGTGAACATCTGACATTTTAGGAGACAAATGATTCGAACCAGGACCACGGAGCAATCGAAGACGCAGAATGCCAAGAGTCAAAGTGTGACTATGGAGTTTATCAGTAATTTGGAGCAAGTTCGAACTGATATGGGGTGTACAAACTTACTATAGTATCCGAGAGAACTGATGCAAATAAATCTCCATTGGGTGCTGAAATAACGATCCGATTAGAAGATCAAACTGAATGAATTCTACTCAATTCGCTTCGGTCGGTTCAACAACAGCAAAAATATACAATTTATCCCATTCCAAACGAGAACACATTGCAGGTGGAAGGAAACGTTTTTGTGAATTCATCTTATAAAATTCTGAAGTGGCTCACGGTCAAAAATTAATTTCGTATCCTGTGGACTGCGGTAGTATATACGGTTTGAGGCAGTTAACAAAGTAATAAACCCCACAATGCACAGATTGAACTCATATGATGATAAATTCCAGTTGTGTAAACCTACCTACCCATTCGAAACCGTCCTTATACTTCCTGAAGCATGGTCGACACATACAAAGCTGATGAGCAGTTAGTTGAGTTGCTACTCGCAGACCTCAAAATCAGAGGGATCAAATAAAAAAAAACAGTGCAACAAAGTGCGGCTGGGTCGATGGATTGACACTGTTGCTGAGAAACAAACAGATTGAGACAGCTGTCCAGTGCTGCCTAGCTCTTCAGCTTATGCATCATTTGCACGACGAATTCATCATCTTATCAAATCGAATCTTCCATTCCTTTCACATAACAAGTAATCAGGTTGTGACAGTTCCAACCGAGTCATAACCCCGGAGGCTAGTGCTGAGATAAGCAAAGACCGATACTCGCAACAAGCTCGCAAAGATGTTTTGTGCCATATCGTGTATACTCAAAATGAGATTCTGTTGATCAGATCCCCGGTGGCCGAGAGGGTAGTATGCTTGCGTTCTGCTACCTGTGAGGTCCCGGGTTTGATATCCAGTTAGGTCAATGGATTCGCACTGTTAATGAGACCCAACCAGGTCGAAACAGCTGTTCAGTGCTGCCCAGCTTTTCAGTTGAGGCCTCATTTGCACCAAGAACTCATCATTTTTTCAAAAGTATTTCAATGTTTTCACTTCTTTTTCGCCCCGGCTAATCCAAATTTTCCTGAATTGTTCAAATTGATATGAACACGACAATCGGTTTCCTTACCAGCATCCGTTCACTTTTGAATGTGATACTCTGAACAAACAGTTCACAATGTACTGGACAAAGTATTGAAAATCGATTCTCGTAGCTCGGGTGAACTGAATTCTATTTCGCCTGTTTGCAAACAAATTGCCAAGTTTGACAAACAAACGAAATGGAGTACTTGATGGAACTGTACGAGATGAGCTGCGTTATACGCACCTTACCTTATACTATTTCTTAACCAAACGCTTATGCAAGTCACCATTGGATTCCGTTCAATCCAATTTTGTTCTTTGTTGGTAGTATTCACTAGTAACTTATAATTTCAAATAGATCTGTGTGTCTATGTGGACGTGACAATCTCTAAAGTGGACCTAGCAACAGAATAAAAACAAGTTGCCTGCTTGCGACTGGAAATGACTGCAAATTCATCCCACATTGTCCGAAAGATTGGAGGTAGATGAACTAATCGTTCCATGTGGATAGTCGAAGAAATATTGAAAACGTTCTGGATAATTGATATGCACCGTGTTTGTCAAGTCTTGAAATAGATGAAGATCATTGTTGTGTTGCATACCTAGCGGCCCGATTGCAGTTCAATACAGTACTCCGGTTTCTTTACAGTGCTAATGTCACCTGAAACCGCACAGTTTACGCTTAAGACACTTTTGAAAGTGAAAGAAACGTTACTAACGGAATGGTATGTACACGTGTGCTATCACATAGGCTAAACAACACGTCTTTATTACAGTAATCTGTACGATATTACAATTATCAGTACTCCTTACCCGACTAGGTAATGGAAGGGCGGAATCCATAATCATAGTGGTTCACAGCATACAACTCACAGAAAGCAACATTATACACGAGACTTATCCTGATAAATAATATAAAGACCGCTAAGGAAGCTTCTGGTTTGTAACAGAGCAAGAACATAATTGACAGCCATCAAATTGGGATGAAGGACGGTGAACATCCAGTTCTTTAAACCGTTGTTTCAATTCTTCTGGATCGTAACTGAACCAAAGATTCGAAAATGTTACCCCATTCAATTTGGTCATCATTGTGATTTAGGTGAACTGTACGGTTTGACGGAGAAAATATATTATTAGTCGACACTTATTACACATGCGGCTACCGAATTAGATATACGGAATGGACTGAAAGATTAACTTTGCTGATGATGCATGGCGGATGCGCGACAAGAAACGTGGAGCTGATTGAGGAGCTTCCACGGCTACTTTATCTAATCATTCATTCATTACCGTGGTATCAAGGTGCCGGTTTTCCCGAGGTGGGCTGTTCTAGCAATTACCCTTTGAAATTCAAATGAGTTTCCGGTGAAAGACAAATACTTCTTTCGCGAGTTTGTTAGCATCCCAAACTAGCAGTCATCTCATTAGATCCCTCTTTCGCTCTCCATTTGAATAAGCTGCACACCCAAGTCTTCTAGATTCTAATATTTAAATTCCAGAATATGCCTCTAAATGTGTGTTCTCATCCTGATATTTACCGAAAACCCCAATTGTTCCTCATTGTCATCAATAACCCCTCATCGGAATCTACTCAGGTTACCAGCTTTGATACCTATGACCAGTGGCCAACTGGACATTGTCGTCGCGTCTATCCACAATCGTGTGAACGCGCACGACGACATCAGAGTGGTTGGGCTATGCGAAACACAAACAATCACAATCCACAAGTGCTAAAGAAATCCTGTCTCGGCGTGTTGGAATGCTCGGTCGGGTGTATGGTGCAAGGAAAACCACTCAGTCTACGTCCGGCGATTTGTGACAAGGCACGAAAAAAACAAACAAGTAAGTGAGAAATCAATCATAAGGATCATTGCTATTTTTGTAGTGATAATAATCACTACATTATTATGATCTTTGTTGTGCTCAGTATTGTCATCATCATCATCATCATCATCATCATCATCATCATCATTATCATCATCATCACGTCCTTTTAAATGTGTAATTGTCATTCAACATGAGTGGTATCATAATCCCTGTCAATTGGATTATCCTACTCAAATGCTAATGAATAGTAGAATCTACATTCATCCGATCTAGAATCACAGCCCAAATGGATCAAAACACTAAGGCAAATGACTTAGAGTCGACTGTTCAAGTCCAGAGTGAGGTGTATTGGTGCAGCTGAACGGGTTCTTATTCGTCAGATGATCTGGAAGCTCACTGTACTTCACAGACACTAACAGTTATGTACTGTGTAAATGGTGGCGGTCAAGTGTGTCTTGTTTTACGCGAAAATCCATAGGCACTGACATCTCTGTGTATTGAAGAAATTTTTTAATGTGCGATTTCTTTGACTAATAGCTTATAGACAAGTGTAACATCTAAAGGAAGAGAGATGAACGTGGGACGCATTGAAAGTAACTGTCAGTTTTGCGTGGTTCCAATCCTCGATCCATACAGGCTCATAACATAATATCATGCTGAATCAATTTTCTCTCTCTCTATTATATTATATAAATTCTACTCCAACACATTTCATTTTCAAATCCGTTTGATTAGTGCTGCATGACATCATCTTCTAAATGTACTGTCGCTGCTAACTGCAAACGAAAAAATGATAGTCATCGTTCGTTCTACTGTCATCTACATTCTTGTATTGAAAACATTCGGGTGGCATTTTGAAAGACCGGTTACCTGCCTAGTTGGACAGTTGTTTATTTAATGGGTCTAATGAATAGTTTGTTGATTAGTCGGAATTTTAATTTAAATAAAATAATTCCAGTGATTTCCTGTGAATAATTAAAAGTGAACGTGGAACACTAGTGACACCTATTTGTTATTCTTTTCTTCTACCCACAGTAAACGGAAGTTCACAATCCTTTTTCCAGTTACCGCTTTTGTCTAATTAGCCTGATCGACCATTTTTCTAGTCGATAGAAGGGACGGAAAATAGTTTGAGGTAAAATAAGTCAGATTAAGGAATGTGGGGGAGGGGGGGTTGTAATGAGGAACTCCACGTCTCAATTGGTCTCATTTTCTGTGTTTTCATTCATCCCTTGACTAATCGTCAAAATAGCTCCACTTTTTCCTATTCACATAACCCAGGGAACTCCTACAAATCCTGACTGAAACGCTTTGAAAGCCTGTATGTATTGCGTCATCAAACCCCGTTATGTGATTGGCAGAAAACTCCGGTGACAAATTATCTTCGGCCTATACTCCATCCATATAAACCTTAAACTATTTTGCACACAATTCATTCAGTGTTCGGGGAAAAGAGGAAAACCATTTGAATGGGAATAATCAGTCGCGTACAGATATCCCCCAAACCAATCACGTTTCTCGTCTAATCCAGACGACGTGCCTAGTGAACANCCCCCCCCCCCCCTATCACGTTTCCCTTCCTCTTTCCGATGGATTTTCTCAGTTCAAAATGTCAATGTAACGGTGTGGAAGAACGTAATCCAAATCGCTTTGAGGTCCTGTCCCCACCTCTCTCTCTCCCTCTGTCTCTCCATTGAACTGTCGGGCTCGAATTGTAAACCGATCGGGATGATTTGTGAAATTAAATGACTCATTTTCCGACCAACCTCAAAAATGACTGAGAATGATCAGTGAAAACGCCTAAAAACAAGCAGTGAAAATTTTATCACCTTGCTCAGCGTATGGATCAGGAAAACGAATACAAAGTGCCGCCTTGTTTGGACAGTGGTCTTGTAACTCAGATATATCTGTTTTCGAGTAGCTAATCATATCTGATGAGGCTAACTGAAAACAGTTTCTCTCAAAGTCTCCCATGCATTCGGTGGTTCTCAACACTTTTGGTCAGTGACTCCAGTAGTAATTCAATCCTCTGCAACACTGACTTAAATCCGACCTTTTCCATCATGTTGGTCCGCAGCTGGTCGTGTTTTGTTTTTGTCCGATCGAAAAACAACAACCGTTTACAGCACCCATTATTCGCCTTTAATTCATGCAACACTCAGGATTTATTTTGGCCTAACCTTGTGAAATAACTTGTTAATTATTCCCTCCACTCAGTCGACTTTTGGGACTAGGGGTGCGGGCGGTGATGTGACCTGGCTCCATTATGCAATAAGTATATTTATTTACCTAAACCAATATGAAGTGTGAAAATAGGAGAAAATACATCATCATCATCATCATCAACATCATCATCATCGTAGTCGTCGTCGTCATCATCATCAACATCATCATCCCAGTAGTCGTCATCATTTCCATCAAACAGACATCTTTTCGGGTGAAAAACAGAAACGTCTGATTACCTTAAATGATATGAACCTTTACTAATGTTAAAAGAAAGAAAACAGAGAATGGGAAGATCTTTCTCCTCGATTCGCTAATGTTGGATTTTTTCATCACACATATTTATGTGATGAACAGCAAACGAGAAATCCCATTGTCAGGAAGACATGCTTTTCAGCGATAGAAACCAGCAACCTAAACCCCGGGACTTGGATTGGTGAACTAAATTAGGCACCTCTAGGGTAGGCGTGATATTGAACCGGAAGACAGTAAAGCTGATAATCAACAAAGTTGGATGGCGGCGTCGGGACTCAACCTTCTGACCATAGGGTTTCGAGCACACCAGTGATGGTGACTAAACCAATGCGTTACCACTTAGAGACCACCCTTTAGGCTGAACATGTGCCCAAAATATCGTCTTTTGAGACCTTGGTCGTTGTTGCAAAGTGGCGAGCATTCCTTCGTCTTATACGGAAATCTTATTCAGCGTATGCAATAAAGATTTGAAGATATGAAGAAACAAAACAGGGTGATAGTGATGAGATGAAGTGAAGAAATTTGCGATGAAAAGTCAAACTGGAAATACACAAACAGTCCAGATGCTTTTGAGGCCTACTTTTATTAATTTAAACGGCGAAGATGCTCAGGTCTAAATGAAAGAAAGCACGCTATCAGATGCACGTTCATGGTGATATTGGACTGTCATAAGCAAATTTTGCGATTGGAAACTGAGACCTCACTGATATTATTTTGGTTTTATATCACTGAAAATGACATTTTACAAACAAACAGTCAATTGAAGCTACGTCACCTGGAAGTTGCAATGCTCTTCCAGTTGTCGTGAGATACTATTCACATCTAAGAGTAGTGTTTTAGTGCGCGTACAAAATCAATTGTTAGATTTTCACAACATCTACGAGTGGATTGGAGGATCAAATTTTGTAACGACAGAATAAACAAAGAGACTATCCAGCTGGTGGCTACTGATGAAAAGATGCTCATGAAAATACTAACTAACTGTTGCAAATTAGATGTTTCGTCTTGACAGAATCCTATTCACCCGTATCCCATGCTGTACACCTACTAAATAACTCTCCTAGACCATAAAAATAAACTTTTGGAAATAGAATGGCAGTTCTTTTGTGATTTCGATCTACGCTGTTCTTCGAAACGTTTTGTTATTACATATTTGTATGTCAGAAGTTATGACTTTGATGTTATTTGGTTCAGGTATAGTTCTTATCTCTAGCTCTTCGATCAGAGACTGCTTTTATGGGAAGCAACTTTTACCTCATTTGTGTACACCTAGGTGATAAACTCCCGTTTTACTCTCCCTCTCTCTCGCTTGCTTCACGAACCCAAAACAAACAAAATTAGATCGACCTTGCATCACACCCGGGTGTCCGGGACGTTTGCTTCTGCGCAACTGTCGTGGTCACAGCGGTTATCCAGTCACACATTTTTGGCGCTTTGCTAATGGTGCTGTGTATTTTGAAGCCAAAGGGGAGCACGACCACAATCGTCCTTCGCTGAAAACCTTTGGACTATCGGAAAATTGTCCGTCTTCTCCTCCATCGTCATCTCCAGGATCTATTGCATCCTCCTCCGGCGGTTTGCTCGGTGGAGATCAGACCGGATCGAGAGGACTCCTGTTTCCAGGACTCCCACAAGCGGCGGAACTTTTGCCGGGTCTTGTTTCTTCTGCACTTAATGGACCAGTAAATGCTGTCAGTGTGGATATGCTATGTTTACCCACGGTCTCATCGAATATGGGTCAAAAGTTGACTGGGCAAAAGCTATCTGGCTATTCGCATCGATCAGCGTTCCGAATGGAGAAGAAGACGGGACGATCAGTCGCGGATAGACGAGAAAAACGGAGCACATTAACCGGAAACAAAGTGAGTAAAACATTTGACCATTGTTTCGATAAATTTTGGAGAATATTTTTCATACGGAGATGCAGCCTCCAGTGTTTACATTGGACTGTATCAAATGTGACCGGAGTAGGGTACATCAAAAATTTCATTTTTCATGAACTGAATATGATAATTCAAATCATCCACTGATAGTTAGGATCTTGTCAAGTGGACCAATAGTGAGTAGATGAGTTAAAATCATCTATTCGGCCGCATAACTAACCGAAAGTAACACACTACTTATCTATCGGTACATTGGAGAACATACGGCAATTTTTATTCAAGTTAAAGTAAAGATCAACACTTTCCTCCATTCATTATGACTGCATGGACATCGGAAGGAGAGCTTTAAACATCAGAATGTGATACAGATATAACACGGATAGAACATTACAATTGAGACAATAATCATCCTGATCATCACATTTGATAGTGTTAGTTAAACTGTATCTGATAAAAATTGTTACTACTTTTACCCATTTAAAGCTCCCACGTATAATTGGTGCTCAGAAACCTGTGTCGGGAATGATCGATTGGGATCACACCCAGGCGCGCTCCATGATCGGACCTAAACGAGCCAGACGGGGTAAGTGTTTTGAGTGGATAGATGTCATGTATAATTTGAATCTATCTATCTATCTATGTATCTGAATATCTATCTAACTATCTGTCTATTTATCTATATGTCTATCTATCTATCTATCTATCTATCTGTCTATCTATCTTTCTAGTGATATATCCATCCACTATCAATCTATCTATCTATCTATCTATCTATCTATCTATCTATCTATCTATCTATCTAGCTATCTACCGCTCATGAAGAGGAAGTTGCAAAGATTTATTTAGACAATCCAGTGGCACATACTTTTCCTTATCTGTCGAATTTGGTCATCATATTTTTCCCCAGAGGATATAAGTCCTTCTATACTTTGAATAAGTGCCTGATTGAATAAAATATGTTTGAAATTTGGACATGGGTGATTTGTAAGTTATGCGTTACCATCACGGAACCTGTCACAAAGCTGTGCGTAGACAAACAAGTGTCCACACACAAGTCTGGTTTTCCATCATATATATATATTCTATAAACGGACAGTAATGCTTGGTAAAAGGCCAACTTATCATCTCACTGTCCACTACACACTGTTGCATAGAGAAAAATAATTATTATCTGAAACAAAAACAAGAGTATTCAAATGTGATAACCGATAAAGAGCATTAGACAACTGTTTCACCCTGTTTGGGACTCGTCAGTAGTGTGTACTTTTTATGTCCCTATCAGAACTCGAACAATCGGGTCGGGACTTCGTGCCTTACCCCTGAGCTACACGGTCGACGGTCATCACCTTGTGCGAATGGCTCAATCGATCTAGAGTATCAAGATGGGCTTTGCCCATTCGATTGTTCAAGAGTGCCTAGTGCCTCTGAGCAATCGAATGGGCAAATAAATCCAAGCTTGATACTCGAAAAAACAAGAGCAGTTTGAATATGAGTACGGCATGACCATAGAATTATTCAAATCGAAATCCTCGTTATTATTTCTCTCCATTCACATTTAGTCATATTCAACTTCATGTTCACGTACGTATCATTTTGTTCCAAAATTTTCAGGAGTACGCCGAAAACTAATTCCAGACGATATGGACAATATCCTGGTCCACGGAGACGTTATGAGTCACATGATCTCACCATTTGGGTCCATACAAACAGCACAAACTCCCCCATTACCGTCAATCCAACCAATTCAACTTTCCTCGTACTCGTGCTCCCAAATTTGCACCACGTCGTCACAAATTTCACCTACCGCCAGTTATTATCCGCCTATTCAAGGTTCACAATCCGAATGGCAATCCGGTATCTTTTCCCAGCCTCAGTCTGCTGTATCTCTTCAGGTGCTCCGCATGAATGAGGAACACACTACACTGGAATCGATGAGTGAAGTAATTCCGACACACGCAACATACGACAATGCTCCAACAGGCTCAATACCATATCAGTCCGACAGTACGATTCCTGTTACTTCCTGTACTGTGCCAACCCTTGTATTCGGATCGGATATGCCTCACTCGACAGAAACATCCAACTTGTTTTGCCTGTCATTCCCCTCCAATCATACACCGCCTAACTTGTCTTCTTCCACTGCACCGATCCAAATAGACAATGGGGCACAAATAACCTCGGACTATTCCAGTCTACCCGTCGGAATGACTTACACGTCTCTGAGCCGTACTCATTCCTCTTATTCATCGGATCATCCAATCCGCTTGATCGATCAACTCTCGCCGAACAAATGTGAATTCAATCCAGTGCACCAAACACCAGATTGGTACATGCCGACTTCGCCACCTGGCCGCACACCGATCACTCCGGCGAGTTGTGTCGTACATAGCTCCTTGTGGCCCACAGATCGTTCAGAACAAACATGCTACCCAATCACATTGGAAGAATCAAGTATTCCAACCCATACGGATGAGTCTGTGGACTGTTGCCAGACAGTCCCTCCCGAGCACAATGCTGACTGTTTTAGTACGTATCACCCTTACACCTGGCCTTCAGAACAATCTCGTCCGGAGCATTCGGTCAGTTCAAGCGAACCATCTACTATTCACTATCCGATAGAAATTGCCCAGGATCCAAATTCCATGGAAGTTTCACATCTTCGAGACTGGTTATCACATGATCCACAAACAGACATTGAATGGAATCCTTGGTCCGGACCGGCAAACAATTCGACGACGACGGATGAAATGAATGTGAATTTTACCGCCGGATTTGCATGGCCAACGAACCTATACACAGCCGGTATGAATACGGACAGTCAAGTCGTAGAGATACCGGACGGCGAAGACTGGTTCATCACCTCCACCACCACAGGACAAACTATCATACCAGGGGCTGAAACTTCTCTGACTTCATCCGCCTCTGCGAACATCGGTGTGATGGAAAGTCCTAAGCAAAACACAAGGATTCCTGCGATGGACGAGTTTCTTGTCACAATGAATCCGAATCTCTCAGGTTCGAATCCGTTGAGTGACCACGAACCGTGTTCTCGAGCAAGTTATCTTACCAACTGTTCTGATGGAGTTTCAATACAATGGACCGACACGGATCTAGTTTCGATCGAGCCGTGGTTAAGAGAGTAACTAATACATAGACCACTTATCATTAAGAAGAATGAACTGTGATAGTATTCCAAAGTTGGTGAACGATTGGGCATAATAAAGAAAAAGCATAGCAACCTTTGGTAACAGGAATAAGTGCTATGCACATATATAAGAACTTATTATTCCGTTCCTCACCAGTCAGTTACGGTGAATGCTTAAAAACCATTGACCATTCCCGGTTTCGTATTTTCCTAATTTTCAAGTTATCTCCATCACCGGTGGTTTGAATACGTATTCATTTTGCTCATTCCCCATGTTGAAACTTCATTCCAAACGTCTGTAAAAATTAAACAATAATGTAGTGTACAACATTAATTCCAGTTCCTCGTGTCTTGATTTCCTTCTTCTTCTTCCTCTCGTTGTGCAAATACTCATCATCATTCGTGACGAGGTCACTTTCAGCCCGGTTATTTGCATAACACGCATTGAAAAAAACCTCTCGGTATTGACAATTGCTCCAAGTGAAAATTGTCCATCAGTTTCTCTTCCCCCCTTCCCAACCCGGTCCCCTTGCAATGACGTTAACAATCTATTTACTATTATTGAATTTTTTCTGACAGTTTTCATCAGTTGCTCACTGCTCAGGCATTTCTTTGTTTACGTGTCACACTGCACTCCGGTTCATTTCGCCCGCCCGCCCGTCCTCCACCCCCTGCCCACAGTTCTTGTTTTGTTCCATTAATCTACAATCTTATCCCAATCATCAGTAACTATTGCGTATTCGGTCAGTCATAATCACAATCTTATTTGTTGCAAACGTCTTTTGTCAACGTTCGTTTGAGAAGATGCGTAATTTTCTGAGAGGAAAAAATTGCAGCACATGCAAACTGCACTACTAAGTTGTAACTGTGTTACCTATTAAGAAACTAAGAGCTTCTGGAAGAGCCGGTGATTGCGCATTTCATATCGTACGCCTCCAATAGAGTGCCACTTTCTACATACAAGCAGACAAGGGACAATGATTTACTTCAGCGGCAAGATAAGACTGTCCTCCTTTGTAGGGAGAATGATACATATGCACAAAGCTAGAACATTCTTTAGCTCTGTCACTGATCGTCCTCTGCCGCTTATTTAGCCAGTATGTGCACTCTTTATTTACGGTTAACCACCAAATCTATGATCGTCCCACTATTAATGACCTGCGGACTTCCGGATAGCACGCGGCTCTAATGCTCTTACACCGAATAATATAATTATTTGAAAACTACTAACGAACTTTAAAAAATAAAGCAACACAGCGTTTCCTATTTCTTTTTAAAATTATTTATTTTAACCCATGCGTCCTTATAATCTCTGGCTATTTTTCTGGGCGGAAAATTTGTGGTGGTATGTATCACGATTATTATATTTCGGGCTGACCGTTCGTTGGACTGAATGATTGGACTGAAGTGTAAAATGGTCAGAAATCTTTTATGGATGCGCGTTGCATATCGCTTAGTAGCATACACTCTACTAACTGAGCACCGTGGCCGGGGGCAGACGACTTTGTAGTTGTGTAGGTGATCAAATCTGAAAAGAGATCAGAGCTGTCGGCACAGCCTCATAGGTTAACTGGAAGTTTGCTGTTTCTCCTGGAGTTTGTTTTCGTTGTGCAGGAGCGTTGATAAGTACCAAGGGAGCCTAATTCGGCACATGGAGTGAGGAGCAGACATCCATTTCACTGGAAGCCGCGGTGACGGAGTGTCCATTGAATTGTGCAATGGCTGTTACCAGAGGTCAGACCTGCCCAAGCACCCGGCGAATGCATCATATAGAGCTGCACTTATCTTCCGTAAACGTCAAAACCTCTAGAATTTACTTTTGACCTCTTCAGTTTATGGTGTTCACTGAAAATGGAATGTGTAGATGATTCGACCAGATTATTCTTTGATTCTTGCGGACAGGAAAACTGGTGATCACTATCGGATCACTTGGTCGGTATTTTGTAACCCAACCCAAAGAATTGGAATCCGGATTCAATTTCGAACACCTCTTTTCAAATGCTCAGCCCGAACAGTATGAGGCCTCGACAACAATTGTAACAACTATGTACGGTAACTGTTTCCATGAATTTCTACTGTTGGGAGGTGTGTTAGGTTCAAACGACGAGTTTGCGGTGGGTGACAAAGTAAATCGGATGCTTGGCGATCTTCCAGTGAAAAGCGAAAGGGAACACCCGCATATTTAGGCGTGTGTGTGTGTGTGTCTACCGGGCGGCAGTGGCTCGGNAACGTCATCAAATTATCACCCCGGCGGACTTGTGTTCGAATCGCACCACCACCACCACCACTGTCTGACCTAGTCCACGGTGTATCGCATCGCAGTCCTTTAATTGACCGTTACCCCCTTTCTGATAAATGTATTTTTTCTATACTCAATAAAATGAAGTAAAATGATGTAAAGAAAAAAAGGGAAAAACAACACAAAAGCGAAATGACTCGGTTTATCACTAGCTAATTATCTTCACTAATCTGTCTGATTGCATAAAACATTGTAATTTTTCGGTTTTAGGCACTTCCTTTGCGAACTGAAGCACAATAAGTGCGAATACACGGGCAAAGGACAGGGCACAGTCATTTTTATCTTTATCAGCTTCACACGATGATAATCTTTGTTTTGTGACGAAAAAAGTTATTAACATATGATATTACCCATTCATCGGTCTATCGTTCCCCCAAATTTCTTCTCGTCCGTGAAGACTCATTTGAGCAACTAGGTCGACCGGATAATTGAATGAATGAACTGATAATTAAACAGTTAGTAAATGTCATCCAAATGCCGGAGTGCTGTGTCGGGACAGTCACTTGTCGCTGAACAGTTTCGGCAATAAATGATAAGATTAGGATTCAATTGAAACTTAACTGAACCCTTCGTTTTGGGGGGCAACAGAGACGGCTGACGGTCGAATAACAACGCATAATAGGCCTGAGAATGAGCTCAGTTACAAAACAGTTCGTAGAGCTGGTCCGGGTGAAGACAGATCATTCTGTCAATCGATAAAGGTGTATGTGTGTGTGTGCAATGGTGTGCGTAAGGTGATGAAAGAGGTACCATCAACAATGAGATGTGATTTTGATCGCAGGACAGCAGAGGTTATGTCTAATGGTCAAATGCCATGACAGGTTGATGACTACTTCAGATACGAAAAGATTCTTGCACGCACTGTGCGGTTTGTCGATGAATACCGAGATACTGTGCAATAGCAACCCAAGCAGCAACTGAACTTGGTTGCTTATTGCTGTGGCGCAACAATGCACCTATCCCCGCCACCCCCAGGTCTCAGGTCTCAAATTAAACTGAGGGTTTGACCAGTGCTGCTACTGTCGACCTAATTGCGAAATGGCCGTCCTTCCTACCCCGGTCCACGCATGCATACATTTCTGGCATTCACACACACACACATACACACACACACACTCAATGTCAGCTTTACAGCGGTTCCTTTAACATGACCTGAGACGACAGTAGACACATAAGCTGTTAGAAAATCCGTTGACCACTCGTTATTGTTATGACATAGACGCACATATATGCACGCATCCACTTGCTCATTCGCACAGAACACTCATTCTGTGAAAGATGCCAGTGAGTAGTGGTCGTAGTGGTAGAATGAATGAGATATTATGCTTTGAAGTTGGGTCACGTGGCCTAATACAATCGAGTCGCACTGGAGGTGGTCGCCACCCCCCAAGGCTCACCAACTCTTTCGTAAACCTCAGTTAGGACTTTTGAAAGTGTGTGTTTGTGTGTGTTTATGTGTGTCTGACGGAGGGCAGAGTGAGAAGGGGGGGTGCCTGATGCATATCTTAACTATTGATCAGACGCATACCACGACTAACACACATACTCAGACATTCTGAAACCAAAGGTTTACCCTATGCGCAAACGTGTGTTAGGTGAGCTTGTTGACAAGGTAACCATGCAGTTAGTCAGGCGTAAAACAGATGATTCACGAAATTACCTAACAACGACATCTGGAGTCAGTCGGTTTCGTGCTCGAGGTCTTGAGTCAAACTTGGCACGCTGCGTGTGTGACAATCAGTGAGTGACCTGACTCACATTTAGTAAGAAATATGGGATACAATTGGTTGTTGTTGCTGTTGTTGTTTGTGGTAATGATGGTGGTCGCGGCCCCGGTCCCGGCCGCAGTGGTTGTGGGAATACGTGTAAGTATGATAGTAATGTCGAATAGCTTTCCATATTTTCTGTTTGTCGCCATCTAGGGTTATTCAGTGAGTAATGTTTATTGGTAATGTCCGGAGAAAAGACAGGTTTCTATAGATTAT